AACATTTTTATGAACCGGGTACTAGCAATTGGCTTAGAGCGTCAATTGACCACTCTAGCCAATCAGCGGCACCCATGCCTGACGTCTTCCTGACACTCCGTTTCAGAAGCCGAATACCACTGAGCGACCTGGAGCTGGAGGAAGCCTTTGGGGTTAAACCATTTGAGAGCGGTTTAACCCCTTAAAGGAAAGAGAGCACCCAGAGGCTTCCTGGCATCATAGCATTTTCATTTAGATGAAGTTGTTATGGTGACCAGAATGTTCCTTTAATTTGCTTAAAGGAACACTATAGTGTCAGGAATACAAACATGTATTCCTGATATCATAGTTGAGAAAACGCTATTCACCCTGGCTTTATGTGATGATGACTATGCCACTTCCCTTTCATGACACTGTCAAAAAGGGACCAAGCATGGATGTCATTACAATTATGCACCCGCCCTCCCCCCCCGCCCTGGAAAAATTACTGCGGACGCCCATGAATGTATCACAGAGCTTCATAGCAATAAAACTCACAATAATGTGCAGTGTGTATGAAAGTATCACAGAGCTCCGCAGCACTAAAACTCACAGTAATGTGCAGAGTGTATGAAAGTATCACAGAGCTCTTGAGCAGCCATTGTACACTATAAATAGACACCCACACATGGACACTGACACTATATACAACAGTGGGTTCCTCAGACACCAAGAGATTCCAGTCTGGCAACTTAAATTTAAATACCTGTTTTTTTCACTCATCTCAGATTTTTCACACACAGAGTCCCTTGAAGTCTCCCCACAACAGCTATAGGAGCCATCTATGTAATTTTCACAATGATTCATCCTTTGTTCAAACGCGGTCCTAATCGTCTGCTGTAATGCAGGCAGTTTCATCCACACCACCGATTTATAACTTAAACAACGTGAGGCTTGGGAAATGAGCAATCCTGGACGCAAATCGGTGCTCAAAGATTCACATTTTGTAAAGAATTCTGGAATCAAACAAGCAACATTAAACGTATATTGTATGCATCCATCACACTTCACAAATATCACGTTTTGTAGAGCTTTGATCAAGTTTTCTATTAAAGAGACAGAAATTAAGGGACAGCTTGACTCTAACAGCCGGACAGGATCAGCATAGTCCACCAGCAGACAGTCCTTTTTCTTCAGATCTTGATTTATTTAATTCTGGTATCTTCGGCTAATATACTCTCATCCATGGATAATGAGCCCCATAGGGTGGATCGATCCATGGCTGCAGGACAGCAGACACTGACGATGTGCAGCTAATGTAGAGGAGACTGTAGCACAGAATTGGTTTATATGAAAAGCCACACTTGTTAGTTTCACTTTCCTTTTCTCTCCAGACAGAGTTTCTATTCATAATAATGTACACATCCTTCAAAGGACTTTAATCCTTCATAAATCTTAATGACATA